TTTTTTTTTTTTTTTTTTTTTTTTTAAGAACCACATTTCTCATTGATACATTGAAGAGTTTTAAAAAAAACGTATTTATCCTTTTGAACAGTACTTATTTACGTAAAAAGGCAATTAGAATTAATTATAAATGAGTTAGATAGAGCACTCTGGGAAGATTCATGAAATTTTGTTAGGCCTACTTTCTTCCCAACCCGACACTTCTGTCCTAAAAAAACCTTTGGTTTCTTTCTATAACTTTATGTGTGGTATTCTAGGTAAGTGATGGTCAAATCAAAAGCACAAGTTGTGGGTAGTTGGAGCTTCCTCCAATTATGACATTGGTCAAGCCTGTTGGAACTTTCCTACCCCAAAGCAACTGTTAGTGAGAGTTGAGAAGGTCTTTCCTAGCTTATGTTTAAGTTCCTCGGTGGTTGCAGATTGAGAAAATGTGTAATATTAAGCCAAAAGAGGGCTATAAAAAAGACTTACCATAAACAGCCAAATCCCACGGCTAACAGATATTGTCCTCTTTGGATGTTCCCTTTTGGGTTTCCCCTCAATATCTGCTAGCGGTGGGCTTGGGCCGTTACATACCACAGCACCCTAAATAAGAATTTCATAGGAACGAACAATCAGGCATAGTCTAAACGAGAAGGTTGTTATGGATAGTTTAGGTGAGAGGAGTAGAGAAGGATTGTGCACAGAAGTTCAATCTAGGTCCTCATGACTTGAATCCATGACTTAGGTTGGATACTCAAATGCTTTTAGTAAATGCAAATACCAAAATTTCCCTCAATTTATGTCAGTCTAACTTCAAATAATCATCCAACAAATAATGGACTCTGACATTTGGTTATTGAGAGGTTCACAAAAAACTATAAATGGTATATGAAATCTTACCACAGGTTGAGAGACATGTGGATTAAGATCATTAGATTTCGACAGCTCCATCAGAGCTACTTCAGCAGCTGACTGCTCTGCTGCCTTGCGATTAGAGAATCCAGGAAGTGAATCATATCTAACATCTTTAACGATCACCGTAGAATAAAATGTTGGCTCATGGGAAGGCCCTTCTTTGATAGTCTCATATACAGGTGTAGGAAGTCCCACCTTTTGTGCATATTCCTGCAGTCGACTTTTGAAAACATAGCAATTTGAAACACCTGATATGCATCCAAGAATAAGAAAAATAAGCACCAACAACATACTTGTCCAAAGCTAATAGTAACAAAATTAATAACAATAACCCATCCTTCACAAATATATATAATATCAAATAAATTGAATGAAAAACATTGGCACCATAACATCAAACACTTCAAACAAAGGAATAAATTAAAATAACTTAGAACACATTCTTTAAAGAGAAAAATTGGGAAAGGTGTATTAACAACTTCAGTTCTCAACGCGGACAATTTGTTAGCTCAGAATACTCTCCTATCCCGCCCAATTCCGCCCGGTAAAATTAGCAAAATTCTCGGAAAATAATCTAAAAAAACTCCAAGTTCCATGAGAAATCCAACTAAAACAACATCAATACAGCAATCCAGACACCAGAGATAATAATAGAAACGACTCCGAAAAGTAGCTACTCGAAAGTAAAAGAAAAGAAATGGAATACCTTGAAAGCTGTCCTTGGCCGGCATAGCTGTGAGGAGTAGATAAGAGAGAATCCTCTCTCACGAGAAGTGAGTATTGGTAAAGGCGAGAGGAAAACAGAGAGGACAGGGAGAAGCAGTGCCGCTGGGCTTAACTACTCAAAGTTCGGAGGCTAGTCGGTGCCCTAGGGCTAAAACCCATATTCCCATTACAAATTTTATTTTTCCTTTTTCTCGTTTTTTTTTTCTTTAAATTATAACCTTAAAATACTCTTTGGGGAAAATAAATATGACAAAAGGGTAAAGTGAAGAGTTGGGGACAATTTCTTTATAAAGTTGAATTATTCAACTCATCATTGCCTTATAATGGTACTTCGTAAAAAAGAATGAAGGGCAAAATGGAGATTTAGAATAAATTAAGGTACATTAGAAGAATAATAATACTTTTAACGCCATTGATATATTTTTTTTTTTCGAATTATCATGTTTTATATGAAATTTCAATATCTACTTAATTATTATTTAATACAAAAAAAAATAATAAGGAGATTAATTGGTTAGTTGTGCTCGTGAGAATTACAATAAAGTTGTATAAGTTGATTTAGAATGAACTAAATGAATATTTTAAACCATCTCTCATCTCATAATAAGCTATGAAACCTACGCCACCGCTCCTTTCTCCATCATACATTAAATTAAACATGATTCTCAATTATCTTGTTCTAAGGGAAATTTCATAAATTTATAATAAACGTGTCATAATTATCCAAATAGTTCATTCTAGGTTCTAAACACACAAAAGTAACCATCTTGACTTTAGACAAATAACACTTGTAGGAATCGCTATGGCACGCTAGCATGCAAGCATAATGCACCTTAGGTGGTTAGAATACATGTGATTAGGACCTGGAATAAACTATTTGGATAATTACGACACGTATATTATAAAATTATGAAATTGTCCTCGTAACAAGAGAATTGAGAAGCATGCCTAATTTTGTCTTCCAATGTGGTACAATAAAGAAAGGAGTGGTGGAGCAATTGGCTGGAACGTATATCTCATAGCTCTGAAGAGTTATCCATTAGTTTTAAGCTCACCTAAACTCAATCTAAATAGCCCCTAATCATGATTGAATTGGTAATAAATGTTTAACCAAAAGACTAATTCATAGAGAGAGCCTAATTTTGAAAGCAAATCCAAAAACTAATGAACCTCCAAGCTAAAAGGAAATATTCCAGCAATTGATTAGTGCAGAAAGATGCCACTTGGCAATCCAAGTCATCAGTTAAACAGTCTAACCAGGTGAGCGAAAGATGCCACTTGGCAATCCACGTCATCAGTTAAACAGTCTAACCACGTGAGCTCTGAGGAGGAAAGAAAAAACAAAGCTCCATACAGTTTCCTGTTTGACGCATCGGAAACAACTGTTTCATGAATAAGTTGAACCGTATGAACAGCATCTGAAAGTGACATTCCAAAAGCCCAAAACCAAGTACAGCATGATCAAATCAGCCAGCCAGCAGTCACAAAAAGGCCTACATACTTCGCTTGTTTGTTTCACACTAGCGCCAGATATGGTATGTTCAAATCTATAAGAGACAGCCTACATTACCTACAGCTTTTAACGCCATATCCAATTGCAGTATTCATGCTTAGAAGTAGGTTTCTGGTTACAGAAGATCTCATCCATGAAGGTGTGGCTTAGCTGACCCGCCAAGCTCGGTGGGTCGTCGATCAAAGCATCGACAAAAGCACAAACAACTCTTCGGTCTTTCACCGATGCTTTCAAGCTGAACCAAGTCAGGAACTTCACTCGAAAATCCTCGTCGATGTGCGCTTCGTGCTCTAGCCACTTCACCATTCTAACAGAATAATCGTAGTCGGACTCTTCAGCTCTTCTTTTACAATTCGAACCGAGAAGGGTACGTGTCTCGCTTATTTTACAAGGGGTGGAAGGACAAACTGATATTGGTTTCATTGAAGTGATTGAGTTCTTTGGAGAGGGATTTTTGTAAAGCCCTTCAAATTTGCTCTTGTAGAATCCTCCATCCAATGGATGAAGATTCGTCGGGTTGTTTTTTGAATCCGCCCGAGAATGAAGTATTTCAGAGTTCCTAATTTCTCCATTTCTATGCTTCCCCAAAGCTGGACATGGTGATGATAATTTGGGGGTGACCCATTTGGCTTCCCAAACACCAAACACTTGTGTGCTACTAAATAAAGAAACCTTGCAGTAGTACTCAGTTGAAGGAAGAAGATCATTGATCTTGAACTTTTTTTCTGGCTTCAATGCAATGAAAGATGGCTGGTCGGGATAATCCTCGGCGTTCGCTTTACGGTGCCAAAGCCTGCAGCCTAAGAAGTCTTTTAACAGATGATCATCATATTGGAGCACAACAACCACAGAGGTAGGGGAAGAATCTTCAAATAGAATCTCACAGTCTGCCAAGGAAAATTGTAATGAACAGGGAAAATGAATTTCATGGCAGAATCACACAGATACTAAGCATCACATCTAATTCCGACTTCGAATCGAATTTAAAAGAGGAAAAACATATCAATTCATGAAATCAATTCTTTCTGGGAAAGAAGAGATGATACTTACTCAATGTTTCTCTCTTTTGCATACAATCTCTGTAAGGGCCGCAACACATAGAATCAAAGGCCTCCACAGCAGAAGCACATAGTTTCTGGACCTCCGCACCACAGGACAGCCGATTGACAATACCCCTTGCCATCCTTAAGCAAACCTCATGGAGGGGCCCCACTTCATTTGTCAGCATAGTCACGGCCAATTCTACTGTTTTGTGCAATTCTTTGTGTAGATTTGTCCCTACAAGAATCTTGTGACACAAGGATAGTCTAAGACATAGTACATCCACTCTTCTGGCCTCCTTGGCATTTAGCAGTTGTCTTCTCCAACTTCTGTAGATCAGCAACTTTCTAATCAGTTGATAAACTAACCCAAATATAGATATAATTAGGCTTACAAAGTGGCTAGTGAATCTAGTTTGTACATTGCCTGCATGTCGAAAAATTATAGGACATTGATTCGGATGTCTTATACGTCACGTTCAGAGGACGTATCCAAGTCGAATAATAATTCAGCTAAGAATTCTAACTTGGGAGTAAAAGAGAGCGAACTATAACTTACCCCATCAATCCATTGATCTTTCCACACGAGATGCAGTAAAAACTTCCATCTAGCTTTTCACAGAGACTATTCTTCACAATTCCAGACCTTTCATGCTTCAGGGCACACTCCAAATGACACGACATTCCACAAGAATCGTTCTCATTAGAAGGGTCAGAGCCACAGGTCAGCCAAAGACTTGGATCCTTGTTATCATCGTAACAATGACAGATGCAACATGAACATCTCTTACAAAAAGCAAAAACTGGATTTAGAGGTGCTTTACAAGCCACATTCTGACAAAATTTGACTTCAGAAAATTCCTCATCAGTCTCCAAGGAAGTGTTGTTATTCGAATCCGAAAGCACAACCGATGATCGGTCCGTGTTTCGGGGCCTCTTATGGCCAGTTTGGGTTTTGTCTAGTAAAGAAACATCGGATTTCTGAGAGTACAACTTCAAAAGGTGCTCTATCATTTGAGATTTGGAATTTCCTGTGTACTTCCTTTCTTTCCCCATTTCAGCACAGATGATCTCAAGTAGCTCCCTACGGGTAAAAGACCTAAGAATTTCAGTGGCGGCTTTGGACTTTAGAACAATCTCATGGATTATTTCCTTCTTCTTTTCCATACTCATCTTGCTGCTGCATTTTCCATAACCTGAAACACAAGCATGTCTCATGCGTTCACTGAATCCAGACATTCGACCAAACACGCAGTAGAATCACAAGTGAATAACAAAATCAGACAAACAAAAATCAAATTACATCCACCAAAATAGATCGTGCAATGCAATGGCCTGATAAAGATGATCCAAAAGGAGAAACCACACATCAAAAACAATGTCGATAAACAGCTACATTAAACATGAAGATACTGTTCGGAAAAAGGGGAGAAAATTTAAAAAGGAAAAAAAGAAGAACCAAAAGCAAAGAGACAGAGAAAGAAAAAGCCAAAACAAAATAAATGCTAAAGCCAGACGACATGAATGACATTGTCCAAGAAGTTGCAAAGACATTGATATCAACATAGCGCTTAAATGCAAAGACGAACAGAACATCGATCAACATCCTTGTGAAGAACAAAAAAACAACAAAAATCAGAACCGTAAACTGAAGACTCACCGGCGAACGCTGGATCTAAGCCGGAAAATCTCTCCTCTGGTTCGCTCATTGTACGCAATGATAATACGAAGAAGAACACACAAAAATCAGAAAAAAGAAAGACGAAAATTAGCGTATAGCTTGAACTGTAAAGCGGGTCTTCAATGGCCAAAAACAAAGAATAAATATAAGATAAAGTTCTTCAAGCACAGTGAACGGAGACGGAGAATTTCAGAGAGAGAGAGAGAGAGAGAAAAAGAAAAAAGGAGAGAGAATCGGAGTGGAAAATAATAAAAAAAATAAATAAAAATTATGGGCTAATGACAAATATGAATTACCATTAATATACAAATTCGAGAGTTGGTATGGAACTGTGAATACCGTGGAAATGGCCAGAAGAACTGAGAATTTTAAATTTTATTAATAATTATTATTTGTGGCGCGTGAATAACCACGCGCCGCGTAGTACGATTTGACGCGATCGAGGACTTCGGCTTCGGTTTCTTTTTTTTTTTTTTTTTAAATAATAACTTTTTCTTTTATTCTGTTTCCGGTGATCACCGCTCGGAAAGTTTTAAGGGAGACGAGGGAATACTACGATGCGGCATTTCACATGGTTGGTTCGGTGTGGGTCATTGAATCACGGCCGTGCATTTAAGATCGGATTGTGGAGATGCGTGCTTGGGGAGTGGGACCCACTTGTAGGTAGGGTGTAGGTATCATCTACGATCCCAACTTTCCATGCAAATATTAGGGTTGATATATGGGCATTTAGGTCGCTTCCTAGGTGGATGCAGTTACCCAACGGCCATTCAATTGCTCCTATATCACCTTCTATTATTATTATAATTATATATGCTATTTTTTAACTTATTGGCATAGCTTTTTCAAAAAGATAATAATAATTATACATATACAAAATTGTATTTTAATTATTTAATTCTTAAACATTATTCGTGAAATATTGTTTTATTTATCGGGATGTTTTACATTTTTTATATAATTTATATTAAAAAAATGAAAATTATCATTTAATATTTTTGTAAATAATTCTTTTAAAAAATGTATGAAAATGAAAAAAAAAAATTGTGTGGAAATTCCATCCCTTCAATTTCCTAATATTTACTTTAATGGGTCTAATACGACTCTCTACAATGCTATGATATTGTCCACTTTTAGTATAAACTCTCATGATTTTGGTTTGAGTTTTTCCAAAATGTCTCGTATCTAGCATTCATTGATAATAAACTCATGATCATTCCCTAAATTAGTCGATACAGGACTTTCATCCAACAATTTATATAATTAAAAAAAAAATCTACTATGAAACATATTTTAAAATATAAATAGTTAAAAATTAGGTTATATTTTGTTTTTTTTTACGTGTATATTATGAGATTTAAAGGTTGAAAACAAGATGTAGGATTTGATAGTTAATAAAATTTTTGTCGCATTATGTTTTATATATCGTGGAATTAAAGAGTTTAATCTAAAGTAATGGACTAAATTATATTTAATTTCATGTTGAAAATTATTCATTTTGAAATTTTTGAAACAAGGACAAATATTAAAAAAAAAAATAATCATAAGCGTTTTTATTTATTTATTTATTTTCCTTACGTCGTCGTTTTGGGTTAAATGTGAAAAAAAAGAATATATATAATGACAATCATTGACTAAAATTGGGCAAAAGCTAAAGAATATACAGTTGAGCGCGGCAAAGAGAAATGTCAAACGCACTAAAGATAAAACTCATAATTAAATGGGACAAAAATAATAACAATAATAAAATATAATGGGGAAAATTGGAATTTCAGCCCCCAATAACACGTGATTGGGCAGGCTTCCACATATATATATATTCTTGAGATTTATAATAATTAAAAATTATATTTTAACACGAAATTTAACTCACATTTATGAATACCTCCTAATTAGGATTAAATTAGGCTAATTTTACTTTTATAATTGGATGAAACTATTAAATTTAAGGTATTAAATGGGCTAAGGACGCTGACAAATTTCAAGGCTATGAGTCAGACTTTTGAAACCGTTTATAATGCTATCTAGACAATTAGATGCAATGCTCTCGTACGATGATTGTTCAGTGGACTCTATAACAAGGTAAATTCCCAACACGTTAGTGTTCGACGACAAAATGGTTATTTAAAGGTTTTTTCTTTATCAAATGACAATTTAATTCGGTAGGAAATAAGATAGCTTGAAGATCACCCACCATATGTGTCTTTGCCTTTCGTTTCAATGCCCTTCATACATAGTATTTTTTAAGAGTATAACTTTCAGATCTATTTAATTTTACGAATAAGAAAATACATATGAGGCACGTAATTAACTTGAAAAAAAAATATTATAAAAAAATATTCATATTTATATATATATATACAGTATATAAAATATAAAATATTTATAATTGTATTTTATAAAATATAAAATGTTGGCTTGAAAATCCACTCAATATACATTAGTATTATTTTTTTACCTTTACAAAATTATGTTAGTACATGATATATAGATTTATATAAATATTGTGAATGTTAATTTATCAATTAGAAAAAACCATAATAATTTATTATATTTTTTCACACGTAAATTTTCATAATATACATTTAATTTTATGCTCAATTTAGTTATTCAATTTAATGGAAATTATCTAATAAATCTAAAAATGGTGAATTTTGTGACTAAAATATTCCTTTTTAAGAAACACATAAATGGAAAAGGCCATTAAATTTTATTAAAAAATATAAAATTAATGATGAAATTTAAAATTATTCTAAAAATATATATTTAGAATTGTTTCTATTAAAATAATAAATGGAAATTGAAATGATTTTTTATGGGCAAAAATTTAAAAATACACATGATATTATTTAGTAATTATTTTATAAATTATGTTAATTTTGAAGAAATCACTAATCTACATTCCTCTGTCGAACGCCTCTCTCACTTCCTAGAGTTCCTAAACGCAACGACGGCCGCTGTAACTACAGACTCCGCGACATCTTCATACAGACTTCTTTGAGCTCCTCTTCCTCCATTGTCTGTTGGTCGGCCTCGATTTTCATCTATTTGGTCTGTTAGTTTTCTCGCCGGCCATTCCCGATTTCCCCATTCTGCAATGCTGCAAACACCTTTGATTTTGTTCTGCCGGAGTTAATGTACGGACGAGCTGAACCGTTGACCATGGGCGACCAGATCGCCTCCACCCCCGACTGCGGCGACACCGGCGAGCCCTTGGATAATCGCCTTGTTCGATACGGAGCTCACTCGCTCGAAGACGGCACTGGAGTTGGCAGCATGATCGAGGATCTCAACCCAGATGCTGTCTATGTTTCGGCCGGTGATGGTTCGGATATGGCTGTTCAACGCAGTGATGGTTCAAGCCAGCTCACTCTTTCGTTCCGTGGTCAAGTCTATCTCTTCGACGCAGTGTCTCCCGAGAAGGTAAAGTGGTTATGCGATTTAGGGTTTTAGTTTTTCAAATTTTTTCTTCTCGGTGCTCTGAATTATGGTAATGGGACCGGGTTTATAAATCTTGTGAGTTTTGAGAATGGAATACATTGTATTTTTCCTCAATTTCTATGGCGGCCTTAAGGGGTGGGAGAATTGAACATTAGGTTGATTAATTGTAAAATAAGAACATTCCGCCTGCTTTGTAGGTTCAAGCAGTATTGTTGTTGTTGGGTGGCTGCGAACTATCTTCGGGTCAGCAAAGCGTGGATTTGGTAAATCAGAATCAGAGGGTACTACTGGAGCTTGTATGAGTATGACATTCTTTTTGGAGAAGTGTATGTTTTACTTTTTAATTTGTTTCCTTCATATTTTATAGAATGCTATTGACTTACCCGGTCGCAGTAGTCAACCGCAAAGGGCGGCCTCGTTAAATCGGTTTCGACAGAAGAGGAAGGAGCGATGTTTTGACAAAAAAGTTAGATATGGTGTCCGTCAGGAGGTTGCTCTCAGGTCTGGCGTTGAACATGTTAAGTTACTGGCTGAATTTTGTTTATTTCTACCGCAGTTTTGTACATTAGACGTTTTTTAGTTCGTGCACGTTGTGTTTTCACTCAATCTTTTGCATTTGAAAGAACTCTGGGATTTTGATCTCTTATTTAAGTTGATAAAGTAATTGCAGGATGCAACGCAACAAAGGACAGTTTACTTCTTCCAAGAAGCCTGATGGTTCGTATAGCCATGACAGTGTCTCAGAGTCTCGTCGAGATGAAAATCCACTTGAAACTTCGTGAGTTTTCAGTCCTTTAAATTATAACGACGTGAAACAACTATTTTAACACTTGAATGCTGTCTGTGGAATTTGGCATTTCATTTCAGTATCAGAATTTGTAGTTTGTTATATGCCAGAATTCACATTTATATCTTATATATATACGTTGTGATCAAAAATCTTATTTATACCTATGCAATTGTGTACTTTCTATAGATGCACAAATTGTGGCGTAAGTTCAATGGTGACCCCAATGATGCGACGAGGGCCATCTGGGCCTAGATCACTTTGTAACGCCTGCGGACTTTTTTGGGCTAACAGGGTAAGTATGCTCCTGAAGACGTTGATACTTTGTACTATTTATTATATTTTAGGAAAGCTGCACTTTCCCTAGATGGTCTGGCTAATGAATATGCCAGACCTTTGCATGGAACTTATTGGCTTTTATGATGTAACGTGCGTCATCTTTATGCTATTGCCTAATTGTGTGTGAACTTTTGTCTTCAAGTGCTTGTTTGGTTGGGCGTGTTATCATTTTCATTGATCTGTATGGGGCACAATGATTCTAGGCTTTAGCTGCCTTAGGATGAGGTCACCAGTGGAAATAGAAAAGGTGATGATAGGGTGTCTAGGTTATTTTGGGTCTTTTTGGTGGTCATTGGTCTTTAAGAAATTTTTTTCACCCGTTCTTGCATTTTCCTTCTTATTCTAACACAATCTTTCTGCTTCTCTATTACTTAAGTAACCACCTGTAACGGCCAAAGTCTTCCGCTAGCCGATATTATCCTCTTTGGGCTTTCCCTTTTGGGCTTCCTCTCAAAGTTTTAAAATGCATATGCTAGGGAGAGGTTGCCACACCCTTATAAAAAAATGCTTCGTTCTCCTCCCCAATTGATGAGGGATCTCACAATCCATCCTCTTTCGGGGCCCAGCATCCTCGCTAACACTAGTTCCCTTCTCCAATCGATGAGGGACTCCCCAATCCACCCCTTTCGGGGTCAGCGTCCTTGCTGGCACACCGCCACCTTACGAAAATATCTCCCTTTTCCCTTTCTTCTCCATTTTGCTGCTTCTTGATGTAGTGTAATTAGAAGTAGTTTTGTAGTTTTTGTTTGAATTGTTAACCATTTTATTTTTCTAGTTAGTTAGTTGGTTTATTTGGATTATTTGGCTATAACTTCTCTATAGAGTTGATGAACTTTTGATCATTAATAGAGGTTTAGTTAAAAGTTGTTTGAGATTTTTCTCCTTCGATTCTTGGTTGCCTGACCTCCCTTGATTGTTGTTTTAATTTTCTTGTTCAGTAATTATTTCTATCTCCATCCTTTTTTGCTTCTCTTGTTTATTCCGCCTGTCCTCTTTGCTTCTTTCACTTTCTGTTCATCTCTTCCATGCAGTTTCTTTAGATGTTCCTTTTGAACTTGGTTTTTCTGCAAGGATGCTCAACTCAACTTGACTAAATGACTGTCACCCTCCAACCCAGCACTATCCCAATAAAATCTCCCTACTCTTTAGATGTTCCTTTTGAACTTGATTTTTCCTAGCTTTATATAACTAGCTTTCCTTTTCCCTTCAAATCCTTCACTGCTTCATTGTGGATCATTACTGCATCCAAATTTGTATATTTTTTTTTGTTAAAGCCCAATTGTCAGTTTTCGATCATGTGAGGAAGAAAAAACAGAAAAAAATGAAAAGAAAAAAACAACAAAATTCTATTATACCTCTCCTTTTCACGAAAAAGGAAGGTTTTTGTGAGAATATGGGGTGTGATTGTTTGAGGGCTTTGGAGAGAGAACAACATACTTTTTAGAGGGTAGGAGAGACCTCTGTGCAAGGTGTGGGCCTTGGTTAGTTCGGTGTGCCCCTGTGTGCTTGTGTGACTGAGCCTTTTTGTATTTTTTTTTTTTAGTTGATGAGAACCTTCCCAACTAAATCTTAGAACACCTTAAGCACACCCATTATATTCGTCTTTTTAAAGAATTCTAGAGCGAACCGCACTGCCCATATCGTTGTTCAAGGGGCCTCTCTATAACCAAAATTTCCGGTGTTCTCCCAATTGGTTTGTGACTGCAGTTTTGAGCATAAAACTCTGACTGGATTCAGCGGTGTGCAACTTCTGGAAATAGTAAATAATTAATGACCCCCTCGCCTTTGGGTTGAGAATTGTCAAGTGTTTGAATACATTTCTCTTTGTTATATAAATAAGATAACTGCCAGTGTTTCTGATTTTGTAATGGATTATTAAGTTCTAGAACCAATTCAAACCGAGCATATTTGGTTGAGACACTACAGTGGTTTCTTAACTACTTCTGATTGATCTTGGTAAACGCAAAATTTGGAAATGATTGCTGTGGGTTCAGTTGAAAGTGGTCCATGGTCAGGGAACTGAGCCACAAACACCCTCAGGTTGAATAAACCTGTTCTCATGCTCCTATATACTAAACATAGCACGCAGACGTGCACAGACTGTGTGGTGGCGTGCGTACCTGTTAATGTTATGATTATTTCTATTGCCTTATGGCTTTATAAAAATACATTTATACATCACGTGTATAAATTGATATATGCATCTTGAACTATATTCATACATGATTATGCATGCATAGTGTCAATTCGCACTTCAATGTTACAGTCATAGTGAGATCGTTTTAATATTTGCTTGTGCTTCTTTTATTTGCACTTACAAGGTGAACGGGGGCAGAACAAAACCCTCCTAACTTGTGGTAGATTTTAAGTATCATAACTTGTGGTAGTTGATATTTTATAGTTGCCAATAATTTTTCAAGAACTTTTAAAGATTATAGTACTCAAAAAGTCAGAATGTTAAACTTTATCCTATTGCAAGAGAATTTCTGGCTGATGCCCCTGGAGGTAAGGGAGTCGAGTGCATTTGCATTTCTATTATATAAAGTTTAGATTTTTCTATTTTGATTATCCATGTGAATTTTACAATTTTCTTCTATTCCTATTATAGTTGTTACCATTTGCTATTATCTCTATTCCCTAGAGGTGTAGGAAATTGAACCGAATCAGTTCGGTTTGTGCTGGTTTTTGATAACCGAGGTTCGGTTTGTGCTGGTTTTTGATAACCGAGGTTCGGTTTGGATCTGTATCAAAACAACAAATCCACACCGACATTTTTGGGTTTAGTTCTCTCATATTTCCCCTTTGCGCCATCCTTGTTCACACTGACAGCCTTCTCTCTCAAGTTTCAATGCCCAACTATGACCATTCACAAGGAGACGACACTCCCTCTAGTGAGCGGCAAGATACTCTGGTGGTTCTTCCCCAATGCTGGCAAATAACGACCATCGTTCCTCTTATTTCTCTTAACGCCCAATGCTGCCCACATGTCTTTCCCTAACGAATTCCAACGTGCTATCCACTATCTCCAACAGTGGCTTGGCGATGGATTCAAATGGGTTACTCTGGTGGCTCTTCCCCTACAATGGTGACTTGACTTTAACATTTGATTGTTTTCTGCTCCCCCAATTTCCACAATTCTGCAATTGATGTTCTTCATCTTTTTACCTCCATGAAACCCGGCTCGCCCGCAAATGGAATTCCAATCATGTTCACTATTCCATTCGGACGCCAGGCTTATCCCTCTCTCACTGCAACAATGTCCATCTCATCCACGATTCATCTTCCTCAAATGGGTCTCAAAATCTCTCCAAGTTTGAGGGAAGAAACAAAGAACCCCATCTGGATTTCACCCCAAACTTCTTTAACTACCCACTCGATCCACTCTGTTTTTACCCTTCCATGTTGTCGAGATTCCTGTAAATTGTATGGTTGTCTGGGGTTATGGTTTTGATGTTGTACAGTGTTGAATTTCCGTGTCAAAGAAGAATTTTTGAGTGTTTTCTGTGCTTGGGGAGGAAGGAACTATAGGGAGCAAGAGTGGTCATTGACGTCGAAAATCCAAGGAAAGAAAAAAACCTTAAAACCGACACTGGGTCGGATCAGGTTTATCCTTTGTAGAACTGAACCAGTTGGGGTCGGACTGGTTCTGCAGTAGTAGACCCAACCTGGCCCGACCCATTTTCACCTCTGCTATTCTCTATGCTTGAACGTCTATTTCGTTATGTATACCGTTTAATTGGCAATTTCATTTGCTTTCTCATTTTGAGCCGAGCATCACTACTGCTAAGACTTCATTATTCTCTTGAACAATCTGCTGTTAAGCTATCCAATTTTCAATGTCTTGTTCATGCAACATTGCAGGGCACTTTAAAGGATCTTTCAAAGAGAAGTCAGGACCATCGGGTGACTCCGGCCGAACAGGTATGCGCCAATTGTCGAAATTCTTCTTCCTTGTTTAATTTTTGATGACCTCATTCTGGTTTTATATGTATTCCATGTTCCAACTCAACTAATTTCATCATTTTAGTGTGAAAGTGATGCTGCCAAGGACTTCGACTGCAGACGTGGTAACCATGCACCAAGCAATCTCGTTTCTTTCCCAAATGGTGATACCTCTACTTTAATGGCTGAGCATTAGAAAGAATGACGTTTGTCATTACAGATAAAAAAAAAGGCCATTTCTGGCTGCTTCTGGCTTCATTCCATCACGCCCTCGTTTTGGAAATTTTACAACGTGTGTTGTAGAATGTACAGATATAGCAATGCCTTAAATTAAATACGAGAAGAAAAACATCTTCTCCTCATTATGTCACCCTCTTACCTACCCTATAAAGTACTGCTGATTGCCTTCTTTTTCTCTCTACAAATTTTCGATATCTCTCATTGTAGGTAGATTTAAACGTCTGACCTCAAGAAAAAGAATATATGTCAATTACCAAATTCATGTCAGTGGTTGCCTTTTTCCATTATATTTTATTATGATGTATACATTTGTTATTAGATTGATCAGGGACCAAACTATTAAGTCGGATAAAAATGGTGGACACAACTGGCTAAAAGGGCCGACTTAATGGTGGTCTTAATCTCGAAAACTTCTCCCAACCTCACTATGGTGTGGCTACATTTATATTTACTAGATTTCATTAGTCTCGTTTAGACTTTACTTTTAATTTGGCTATGCTCTAAAAACTTACGCAAGACAATTTTTAAGTTTCCGTCAGCGAGCTAGAATATTAAAGGTTTAGACTCGTATAGATTTTTTCATAATATGTCATACTTAGTGTTTAATTGGCAATTTACTCACCATTGTGGAGATTTGTGTTCATTTAACATGGTATTAGAGTAATGTTAGATGAACAGACTCTCTACAGTGGTTTGATATTGTCCACTTTGACCAATGAAGATAGTATTATTTGAATTGTCCACTTTGACCAATGAAGATAGTATTATTTGAATTGTCCACTTTGACCAATGAAGATAGTATTATTTGATTATAACATTTCCTAAATTAGCTGATATGAGGCTTTCATCTGACACCTTCCTTCGAACAAAATACATCTCCCCTTAATTGAGGTTCGATTTTTTTTATCTTTTGGAGTCATTTGTTCGATATTTGAGAATCCCTTCGAACAAAATACGTCTCTCCTTAATTGAGGGACTTTTTTTTTTCTTTTAGAGTCCTACATTTGAAGATTTATTGATATGACTAATTTTAGGGTTTGATTTGAATATCAGCCACCATGATCTTTTTAGATAGGCAAGAATAAAAATTGGGCCCCAAAAGCTAAAATTGCCCTTTGAATAAATGAAAGTTGGCGAGAGTGTCCATAGACAAAAAGGGGAAATGGAAAAAGATAGTCAACGGGAAACAGACATAGTAAAGGCTTTATTTATTACAGAATAGGGCCCACTTCTATATCCGAAATAATTTCACAAACATTATCCATTCAGCGGCTGTTACCAGCCGTTGGATCTGATTATAAAAGCAACAATCCTGTCGGCCCATGAGTCCATTGGCCTTGACACCCGTTGACCAATGGTAGCCGTCAAATCATGTGGGTCCCACTGTCGCCGTCATTATTTTCAGGTGCAATTAGGGCTTTCGACGAGCTGATGGCGGCTGCAAATCCTCAGCCTTTGCAAGCGCGTCCCTTCCAGGAACATGTCCAAGTTCCTACAATGATGGGGAATGACGACGGTGAATATGAAGATGATGGTGGCGGCGGCGGAGATGTTATGGATGATGTCGAAGGGGCTCATATGACTTCGGTGAGCGTAGTGAAGCATGGTGGGTTGGTTATGGTGTCTAGAACTAGTGAGCTTACGCTTTCTTTCGAGGGCGAGGTTTATGTGTTCCCCGCAGTTACTCCCGAAAAGGTACCTCTTCGCCTGTTGTCAGGCAGTTTTGTTACGAGTATATGCTCTTGTTCTCGTAGTTATGCTTAATTTGAACAAGCTGGAGTTGCTGAGACTTTCATGAACCTGAACCAGTGTCTTTATGCTACTCTGAGTGCCTGAGAAACGGAGAGACAGACTTTGGGAAGACATCCTTAATTACTTTTGTTCAAACTGTTAGATTATTCTTATTTTTTCAATATAGTACATTCATGTGCAGATCTCATAATTTAGTTTCCGTCTCTTTTCCTGTTTATGTCCTGTTTTTTTCTATCATTGAGTTGCAGTATGAAATTCTGTTGTCAGACGCTTTATTCACAGGACTTTATGCTGTGGCATTTGGATATTTTTCATAATCATTCCCAATTTCTTGGGGGCAACCTCTCGTGTTTCATTGGACTATTCAATGGAAGGTAAACATGCACATCTGGTGACCACCCACATAACTGTGGGCTGCCTTCACGATCACATGGTTAACACCTGTTACACCCGGGAATGGGATGACTACCATACCATTGTCAATTAGTCAACCATGTCTATTTCCTCTCATTAAAATTTGGGATGATTGATTTTGTTCTCGTCTTACTTGAGTATGTTTGATGTGAAGTCCCACATCGGTTGGAGAGGAGAACAAAACATTATTTATAAGGGTGTGGAAAACTCTCCCTAGCAGACGCATTTTAAAAACTTTGAGGAGAAGCCCGAAAGGGAAAGCCCAAAGAGGACAATATCTGTTAGCGGGTGGGCTTGGATCATTACAAATGATATTAGAGTTAGACATCGGGCGATGTGCTAGCGAGGAGGTTGAGCCAGCAAAGACGGTGTGCCAAAGACGCTGGACCCGAAGGGGGTGGGTGGACGCGAGGCGGTGTGCCAGCAAAGACGCTGGACCCGAAGGGGGATGGATTGTGAAGTCCCACATCGGTTGGGGAGGAGAACAAAACATTATTTATAAGGGCGTGGAAACCTCTCCCTAGCATACACGTTTTAAAAAGGACTACCTTTACCAATTTGGTTTAGATAAGGAAATGGCTACCTTTTTTTTTTGCACCAGATGTGACACCTATGATACACATGAGAGTTCTGAATCTTTATAGTTATTTCAATTTTCGTTTTATTTTAGATTTGATATTATTGACAGGGCCGACAGGTTGGCCCTGTCTAAACAATGAGATGAAGTAAGAGCTAGACACAGTTAGCTAGAAATAGGTTCTGTGAGAAACATGAAAGAAATAATGGTAATGAAGGAAGAATCTTTCTGCTGTTCCATTGAAGGAATAGTTTGAGCATGTGGTACATGGTGGTGAATTGACGTCTTCTTGTTCACTAGGTTTTTTTTTTTTTTTAAAGTTTACATATTATGGCTGCATCTTCTTGTTCATTAATCTTGAAATCCATTATAGTTTGGAATCTGTTTTCTTTGGAAGAATTACCTGGTTTTGATGACAGGTACAAGCTGTGCTCTTACTTCTTGGAGGACGTGATGTACCAACCGGTGTGCCTACAATGGAAGTGCCATACGATGATAATAACAGGGTAATGCAAATCATGGAAATTTAGACTCCATATTATGTGGTTATGTTCATATATTAGATCGTTCCTGCCATCTTCAGGGTATGGTTGACACCCCAAAGCGCTCCAACTTATCACGGAGAATTGCCTCCCTGGTTAGGTTTCGTGAAAAACGGAAAGAGAGATGTTTTGACAAGAAAATTAGGTACACCGTACGGAAAGAGGTTGCACAGAGGTATGATGACTTAGGCTATAGCTTATCGACGTTATATTTTTATCCTGGATTTTGTTCTGCTTCTCTTAGAATTTTCTCTCATCGAACAAAACTTGATAATCATGAAGTAATTTTCCTATGGTACACGTTTAGGCCAAACTTGATAATTGATGGATTATGGACGTTTAATTATAATGTTCATTTTTGTTGGATTTCCTTGTATTTTTATAATATTAAATGTGTATAATGTATATATTTGCTATTTATTTCTGTAATATATATATTTTTGTTGGATCTATATTTTTTTTCTCTTTCCAAAATGGTATCTTCGCGTTCGTCATCACCGTCAGAACCCTACCTGTCATCCTAAAACAACAACTCTATTGTCGACGATGTCTTCACGTCCGGAGTTCCTGTTCGTCCGTTGATCACATGACTAGTTCATCTCATCCTTTTGATTGCTCTTCTATTTCTTATGGAATCTATCAATGATAGTTTCTCTTTTATTGTAGGAAAATGAACCATTAATTTGACTGATGCACTTTCTTTACCATTTGTTCTTCATGTTCCTAAATTAGCCTGTAACCTAAATTGTCGGGTTACCTTCTTTAAATCTCATCAAATCTTTCAACATCAGGACTTGGGAAAGAAAATTGGGAGCACTAGGATGTTTGATGATCTCTACTACTTTGATGAAGGTTCTTTGAGTAATAAAATAACTCAAGGTCTTTGTAGTATCCGTTCTCCTTTCTATTCATGAACAATGCTTTGGTATTGTAGGTTAGGACATCCCAGTTTTCTCTATCTTGAACATTTGCTTCCAAATTTGTTAAAAAAATATTGATGGCACTTTGTTTCATTGGGAAAGTTGCATTTTTGCAAAAAAAAAAAAAAGAACCCATCAATCCACATACTTGCCAAAGCCTTGCATAGCCTCAAACCATTTACTTAATCCATAGTGATGTTCGGGTCCTTTTAAAATTTTGACTCCTAGTGGTAAAAAGTTGATTGTGACTTTTATTGACGGTCACACATGTCTATCTTGGGTCTACTTAATGACAATTACATATGAGGTGAAATCTTTTCAATATTTTTATGATACGGTTGAAACTCAATTTCAGACCAAAAGCAACATTTTACACTTAGACAATGTAAATTAGTATTTCAATGCATATTTGAGTGATTTTATAAAAAGATAAAGGTACCTATTTAATAAATAGGATGCCAATTAATTCTTGAATTTTGTAGTCCATCTTGAATGTCTTAAACCTATTTTTCCAACTTGTCGTATATATTCTGATTTACCCATAAGTTTTTTTTTGTTGTATTGTTTCACGATTGTACATTTTCAACCCTGCTGCGTCCTGTCTTAACATACTCACAACAAGCTTTAAGGGAAATCCAAGTCCCATATACATTTTTGTCTTTGTGGATTCGTTGAACCTTATACGAAGTTTGTCTTCATCCAACGAACCTTATATGAAGTTTGTCTTCATCCAACCAAACATAACTTGTGCGGAATTCAAGCTTGCTCGGTCCCACACGTCGCCTGTGTGTGCACGTCCTATCTTGACATGCTCACGACAAGCCTTAAGAGGAATCCAAGCCCCATATATATTTTTTGCCCGTCTTTGTGACTTCGTTGAACTTTAGACAAGGTTTGTCTTCACCCAACCAAACATTACTTG